GCCTTGAGGCGACTTTCGTTGTGGTTTGGCGCTATATAAATAAAATTGAATTGAATTGAAAAACTCGTGACGCCAGTGACGGTAAACCAGGCACCTTAAAACCCGTGTGAACAAAAACACCTGCAGACGAGCCATAAATGCGTTTGCGTGTCAGAATGCAGTAAAACTGGAGTACTGATGGTTGACTGTTGGATGAGGTGCCTGTGCTGACATGCTGTTTGGTCGACAAAATATTTCCACTTGGGATTCAGAAGTCTTTTGGTTTGTTTAGATGCAGCTTTATGAACCTAAGCTGTGCTGCCACGTTCTCATTAGGGAGACGACGCTCCTGGCAGCTCTTCCAAATAATCCATGCTTGTTAGATCTTTTTTGGGCCAGCCTGAACCAGCTGTCTTGAATGTTTACTAATTATGAATAATTTTTCACGCTGTATTACAATGGATTTAAAAACGTTTGGTCTTACAATCCTTTCCAGATTGATTGTCAGCAACAGGTGCTTCTCTGATCACTTCCATCTTTCCTCTGAGGGAAAGAGAGAGATTATGTTAACACACCTGAACGCTCCACTCACACCTGATGAGCAGTTAATGAAGTGCATTAACTAGCAGCACCTGGCTGATAATTTCAGTGGAAGCAGTGAGGGTTCTCCCCCCCCCCATTGTTTCTGCATTTTGGTTCAGTTTTTCTTAAATAAATAAAGACACAGACAGGCGAGTATTTTATTGATCTTGTCATGTGTCGCTGTTCGTCTAAGGTTATATTTACATAACCTAAGAATTCACCACATTATTCTAGTTATGTCCTGATTCATAAACCTTAGAAAGAGGCACGACTTCATGAATCTTCAAGTTAAGGGTGTTTTCTGTTAAAGAACCGCTACGAGCTCAGATGGAGAGACGATTTAAAACAGATGCTTTATTTCATTTCATACAAGAAACAACAAGGCAGCAAAAATAATATCAACACCATTTTTACTGTCACGTCTGCACGTCCAGAACAAAGAGGCAGCTCATGGAGACTTCACAAACAGAAACATATAAAAGTCTGACAGCTGTGAGCTGGGAACTGTTTGGTTTCACATTTTCAGGTCAGGAAGCAGCTCATTTTATCTTCTGCTTGTCTTTGTATAAAAATCTAACCTCACAGTTCCGAGGTCACCAAACTTTGATGGTAGTGATCACTTTTAAATCTTTTATTAATTTACAAAGGGATAACACACATGTTCAAGACACAAATTAATAAAAGAGAGACAGTGAAAAGGATTCAAACAAGGATGAAAATTCATGGAAATTGACAAAAAAAAAATCATGCAGACAACAGAAAACAAACTCATACATGACATGAAGGTCTGTGCAAAGATGAGTCCTTTTGTTAAATTTGCACCATTAGAATTTAATCATCTTTGATTTTCTAACACTCGGGTTTGGATCGAGCCGTTCTTGATTTTATCTACTTTCATGGTGCAAACTGAACAAAGCTTTACACAGACTCATAATACAGATCTGATGATTTCCACTGACGCTGCATTCAAAAGCCCCGCTGTCACGATTCTGATTGGAATAATCAGGGTTTTTTTTTTTGAAGAATAACACCAGTGTTGGGTAAGTTACTTTAAAAAAGTAATTAATTACTTAATCAATATTGTATTTAAAATACTTATCTAATTACTGTGTCTGAAAAGTAACTTAATTACTCAATAAGTAATTTAACTAAATACAGTCTTCTTTTAAAGACGGAGACTACAGTACGCAGCGGTAGCATCTCTTCCACAATGTAGCCTGCAGTTATTTTTTTAAGCTCACCTTCAGACGCTTTCTGTGCTGCTGAAGTAAAATCAGGTTTTGCCTGCTTAGCAGGAGTTGCCGCGGTGTTATCCATGGATGATGAACAAGGATCACTCAGAAGTGTTAGTCTGTGCTCTCCTGTCAGGCGCTTCAGTAGATTACTCGTGCTATTAACAGCAGCCGATAGTTTTTGCATATTACTGTAATATTCTTGTCTGCTTGTTTCAGAAAAGTGAAGAGACGGGAATAGGTCCATTTCATAAAACAGCCACTCGCTTCAGCCGAGTCCGACATCTTCTGCTTTAGAATACGACTATGCAGAAAACTGGTGCGAAATGACGCGCAGCTGCACTACAGCGACGTTAAAGCAGCAGAGTTTATTTTTACCTTTAGAAGATAAATTATTGAAATTAAATAATGATATTCAGCGAGTTTAATTATTTTACAATGTAACGCAAGTACATTGTAAGTAACTGTAATTAAAATACCTAAAAATGAACAGTAATCAGTTACTCTACTTTTTCAGTGGAAAAGTAATTTAATTACCAAGTGTGTTTTTCAGGTGTAACGCGTTACCCAACACTGAATAACACAAACACAAGGTTTATGTGTTATTCTTCCAAAACAAAGAAGGACAGATGCGATTAGGATAATTAGTCCTGATTGGCTGGATCGGTTTAGTCTCCCCCCAATGCTGGTCCCTTTAGTTTTTATCTCTGGCTCTCAAATTCAGATTTTTGTGCCAATGAACGGAGCATCAAAGATGTAAAAGTCAATATTTTAAAGAAGAGGAGAGCGACTCATTTCGCTCACGGCCAAAAGAAGGAAATGCCGAGCTAAGACCGAGCGAATCAGGAAAATAAACTATTCCTGTCAAACCGACGAGCTGCGCAGCGTTTAATCAAGTCCTAAAACAATTAATTACGTTAGTCTTAAAAGTGTAGTTTTTAAGTCAACTGATTAATGAAACGTCCATAAAAACAAAAAAAGGAACTGCTGTTATGGTAAAGGCCTCGCTCACATGTGAGGGAAGTAAAACAAGCGATTGTGTTCTTCTTCACTCGTCTCTGTGGTTGGTTGCTCGTAAAAGTCACGCACTCTGGAAAAACTCTGCACATATGGTTGATTTAAATGGGAATAAAATGAGCTTTGTATGTTAAACTGGGTTCAAGCTACACAGTATTTTTATCTCCGTATGCTCAGCACCCAGGATCTGTGTAGCCTAAACCGGCATACACATCGCCTCCTCATTAGATCGGTTTTCCAGTGACTCAAGAGTTTGTACATTCAATAGTTTTACTAAAAAAATAAAAATAAAGTGCAGCTACATCATAATTTTCTCTAATTGTTTGGCAATTATATATTTTTTAAAAATCTCTTTATAATAATTTGCATTTTAAACGCAGTGTCAATTTTTCATAACTAACAATTCAGCTAAAATCAGCAAAATCAGTCGAACAGCGAACTTCACAACCAACAACACATGCGGGGGAGTTCATTTAAGCGTTCATACATTTGATCACTACACGAGAAAATAACTTTTTTATGTGATAATAATCCTCAGATATTAATAATCCAGCAACACTGATGATGACTGAGGCTTTTGAATACGTTTCACCTGTAACACCCACATGACCAGCAGAAGTTTAACGAAAAAGGAAAAAAACAAAAACATGCCATGACAGTAGTAACATGGTGGTAACGGCTCCAGCAGCATCGCTCTTAGCTCAAACCTACAAACACATGTACAGTTTCAACAGTGATTAATAAACACACACCTCCTCCTGCTTCACGGTGCAGAGAAATCTAAGGCATCCGCTGGCGTGACATTTATGTGCAAGTACTTATATTTACCGAGGAGGTTGTGAGATAAACCTGGAACGTCTGAAGTAAAAATTCAAACACACTCTTTGGTCTGCAGCTGAAGATCACTCGTGTGCAGATGCACAGCTGAAAGCTACACATGCCTGCTGCTACGAACATCCCGAAATAAGAAATGTTGCCTAAACTGATGAGACTAAGACTGAAAACTTCCCAAACAACACTGAACGTTGTTCCTCGAGCTGGAATATCAACTCACCGGTTAACACCTCTTTTCTACAGATTTATGAATTTTTTTTATTTTAAACAAAGTTTTCAGTGATATATAAAGAGAAGAGCAGCTCCTCAGCAGACTAAAGCTTCTAAAACTGAAAGGGCCAGACTCACTAACCATCCTGCAGTCAGGATTTACTGAAGAGACCCACCAAAACCTGATCTGGTTTTAATTAACATGATTTCTTCAAGTTTGTGGCAGGTGGCTTACTGCTGTTTAAGCCACACAAACACAAAAATCAAGTTTCATCCTGCTCCTGACAGGTTGCTGGGGGCATTAATGTACTTGGACAGCCAGGCGGAGAGGTTATCAGAAAGGTGGATGTTAGTTCAGAACCAAAACTTCAGCAGGAACCTTTCGAGCTGAGCTCAGCGTATTTCTGGTCAACAGTAATTGTACTAATACTAGTAATTCTGGTACTTTGATGTAATAGAGTAAAACACAAAACGGAAAGTCAGATGGAGGGAATAGTTGCTCGCTACATGATTCATGTAAAAGCCATGGATGTGTTACGGGCACAGGTGAGCTGATGGGGCTGCAGTGTTTCAGGATTTTAGCCACATTTCTGCACAAGTGCCGGCCCCTCATGAAACTGTAGCGCACAGAAACTTATTTTGTGTCTATTAATGAGAATCGGGCAGGAGTGTAGTGAGTTAGAGTCTTATAGCCTGATCTGCAGGTGGAGTTCTGCAGAAACTGCTGTGCACAGACGGCTTTTAGTCGGACTGTTTCCTTTGACTTTCATAAATTCCTGCAGTCTCACACAGTAAAAGCATCATGGCACAACAGCGGTGACTCAATGCAAACATAAATAATGGCATGTGACGGCACATCCAACATGTGATCCGTTCTCCTTCAGCTTTCTCTCACTGACCTGCTGCTTATGGAAACAACTCCACGTGTGAAGCTAGCCATGCTGTATTTTTTTGGTTAACAGCTCACTCGCACACCCAGCAGGCTCGTGTTTGACTCGATAATCGCTTTGGTCATTACTGAAATGAACTGTGGCTGAGAAAAAGGGTTTTATTTGATGACTTTATCCTGTAACTGGACTAGAGCAGATAAAAGCCTCAGATTAAGTTCATCCACGGTTGGTACGTCTGATTTTTTTCTGGAAGTGTCAGCTCCATCTGCTCGCAGAACTTCCGACGCAATTTCAGGTGAGGGACATGAATCGTCACCTTTGTAGTAAATAAATGCTGCATTCACATTTAGCAGATTTATTTCTACATGGAGGCATCGTGTTTGCATACTTTTGTGAGCTGTGCAAGGGAGTTAATGGTTGTATGAAGCCACGAGAGACTTTAACTGAACCTACACGACTGACTTTACTCGCCTTTCCTTCCTCAGAATTCAGAAGCATGTCAGGAAGCTGCAGGCAAACAAGTCAAACCTAAGAAACAGCCCAATGCTTTTGTCACCTGACTGCGAGAAAACGGCCCTCTGTTAGTATCAACCGCATCATCAAACACAAACAAACTCAACTCGAGCTGAAAGTCCTCACGACTTCTGTCTGTTTCATAGTCGAGTTAATGTCAAAGAAACGGAAGCAGGCACAAATCAAGTATTATTTTAACAGAAAACACAAAGATCTGCAAAATAACGCAACACTTGTGAATGACATTCGTTAATGTTCTTCATCTATATTTTAAATCGAGGAGCCAAATGTCACAAAAGTGGGAAGAAAATAAAAAAAAAATAACCAGGAAAATAAAACTTATCAATCACGGCCAAAATATTCTTTTAATCACTCGTAACACACCCCTAAATTTAAAGTCAGTGTTTACTCTCAAGCAGCTGTTGTTTTGGGTCGTAGAGTGAACGCAGCATTAGCCGACATTGTTAAAAAGAAAACTCTGACGTGATGAAGAAGAAAATAAAGATAAAAGTGTGTTGAGATAAAACGAGAGCGAAGTGTGTACGTTACACATCAGATCCTTGTCACGTCGCTAAGGCAACGAAGCAAATGGAGGTCATTTGGAGTTCATAATAATAATAATAATAATAATAATAATAATAATAATAATAATAATAAGCTGATCCCATTTTTCCAGCACAGACAAAATCAAAAACAAGTTTCCCAGTAACCGCTTCACCAGCAATAAATAATCCTCTACATAATTTATACATAAATATGAGGGTGAGGAGACGATGCCGTCGCGTTGTTGGGAGATCAGGCGAGGTGGGGGCGTCTGTTTTTGTTTGTTTGTTTGTTTTAAAGTTTCACTCGATGACTTTGTCCATCCTATAGACTACAGTGGTGGAGCTGTCCTCGTTCGACTCAGTGGGGGACACCTTTTTCCAAAGAGGGGCTTTCAGAGCCAGCTCCTGCTGGAGGCTCTCGTAATCCATAGGTCCGAAGGTCTGCTGCTGTTATTGACACGGATAATAAATTAGTCTCAAACCTCCGTTTCTGCCTGCGTTTATGTGCTGGGTGGATCGCTGCAACACTTGGAAGTAAAATGGAGCCAAAACAGTGCCATCAGTTTTCACAGTGTTTCCCACACATTCTAGTGTTAATGGAGCACTATATACCGACAATACTGCATAATGTAATAACACAACACACTTGCTTGCTCATATTGACAACTTATATCCCTACCAGGGGTCAGACATCTTTGTTTATAGAGCTATAAAACTAAAATTGTTTACATTTTTGTTGTTATTACCAACAAAATGTAACAATAAGTTAGCATATTTACACTGACTCTGACACAGAGTAGCTATAAAGCTCTGAGCCTGCATTAGCAGAAGGAATCAAAGTAAAAGAGCTGGCATAATAAATAAAGTAAATTTGACATATAGCATTATAGAAACTTTAAAAGTAGTATTTTTATACAATAGATTAGATTCTATCTAATCAATAGATTGTGATTAAAGTCCAGCAGCAGATTATGCAGTAAGTCAGTAACTCAGCAAACAAATCTGTCCACAAAATCCTCTTTTTCCACTTTTACATTTGTAGCTCAGGTGACTCAGGACTACACACTTAGGACACTAAGTGACCATCCACCTGAGCAAAACAGTTTTCTTTCAGATTTTTAGAGTTGACGAAATCCTGCCGTTATTACACCTGGTTCACATCATCCGACATGCTCGCTGCTTGTTTCTTTTTTTAAGCATTTTATTCTTCAGTTTTTTAGTCGTACTAATGAAGCGAGCTAGAGCTTTTAAAAAAAACACGGTGATAATCAGAAAAGGAGAACACTTATTTTTGATCATTTCAACCCATTTGTGTTTACTTGCTGAAACAGAAAGTAGAGATGGCGAAAGCCCGGATGCACCCTGGACCCCAGTTTTTATAAAGTCACATGATGGAAAAAGCCGCAGCTACGTCAGCAGAGTAACGGAAAAAAGCTTCACCAGTGCTCGCCATTGTGGAAGTGCACGCTACGGTCTGAAGAAATACTTTAGTTTCCTCAGAAAAAGGTTCTGAGCACTCTGAATGTAAAATGTGAGGGAAACACTGCATCATCTACCAGGCATGTTCTGAACGATCAGACTGAGTTTGGCTCCAGGTGTCTTTTAACTGAAGATTTGGCTCCTTGTATGTTAAATATTTGCAGTAAACGAATATACTCCACTCACTTTATGCAGCTCTTCCACCCGAAGGAGGAACAGGGACAGTTTAGGGGCTACTGTGCGTGCAGTTATGGAGGTCAGTGCAAACAGCTGAGACTACAGGAAGCTGATGGAGAGGTGTGGTGTCACATGAGCCTGACGAGGCGGCGTTTGTCCTTACCCGCTGGTCGCCTCCTTCTCTGCGAGGGTCGTGCTTCTTGGCGAAGTGCCTCAGATTGTCGTAGTTGTGGAAGTTGAAAAGCTCCACCAGGTCCTGAAATACAAAGACAGAAAGACTAAAACTAACAAAGCAGCTGAGAAAAGCTAAAATGGTGTCTTGCCACCCAGTGAGAGGTGGGAAACTCCAGCCCTGCCACAACCCTGGACTAGGTAAACAAAAGAAATGATGGATGAATGAAAAGAACGTAAACAAAATTCAATTAAAATTAAAAGTGAAGTCTTACATCTTGTGTGTGTTAATGTGACGCTGAGCGGTTCAGACTCGTCTAATGTTTTGGGTCTGATCTAAAATGACTGCTGCTCAGACTTCAATGCAAAGTAGCCGGGGTGCTCGTTCGGATATGAACCACACTAATGGGAAAGAGCATGCCTGCAATGAAAGGCCACTTTCAGCTCCTAAAAAGCAATTCTGATCCTTCTGCTGCTGTAAAATATTTAAGTTAATAAACAAGGAGGTGCAATATTGTCTCGAGGCGGAGTGTTTATTCTCCGGGCATCACGTACCGTGCAGAACTGGATCCCTCTGACCGAGTTGCCCAGCTTGTCGAGCGGAGGCGACCAGCACACGATGCCCATCACGTTGGGCACAACCAGCAGGATCCCTCCTGATACTCCAGACTTGGCAGGCAGGCCGACCTGCAGCAGGGAAACAAAGCAGTTACAGAAAGGCTGGCTGTGTGTGCAGAAGCAGCACGACGGTGACAAAGTACATCAACACAGCGATGGTAAATCTCACGATACACTGAATATTCTCAGAAATCCCTAAGAGTTATTTAGATTTTTTGTGTCAGATCCAAAGCAACAGCGCCTTCGTTTTTCTGTTCAGTTTCAGAGTCCAGAAATCCATCTCCCACCGACTCAGGATGAAAGTCGTTGTGCCTCGTTTATTGATCATTTCCTCTGAGATACTCTAGCTGTGGTTTAATGTGAGAATTCATATGGTTAAAACTACCTAACACAGATAATCTAACATTATCACGACTTTAAAATCTGATATCCAATCACATGGGCCCTTCGGTTGAGGGTTGTTAATACAGTAAACACTGTATTTTGCTTTTTAAAAGTAACAAAAGACATCTCATTATGTTTAACAGTTTTAACTGGGATGGATTTTGAATGCCATGCTTATGCAGAGCTGGATTATCACCAGAGGAAGCTCCACGTTACATTTTGAATTGTTGGTTGTGCCAGAAATGTTTACAGACAAAACTGTCCGAAAACAACAACACATGCTTCAAAAAAGAACGTTAGCTCTTGAATATGTCTCCAGAACACTTATGTCCATTTTTAAGGACAAACACTCAAACTTTTTTCCCTGTTTGCTCTCAGTTTAGATGATCAGTGCACCTGATGAAGCCTCGTCTCCTTCCTATTCCTTTTCATTTTTTTTTTTACATTTTAAGACATGTGACATCATCTCTTATTTTGTTTAATATCTGCAGTGCTTTATTTAAGGTTTTCATTCACTGTTATATTTTTTAAATCATCCTGTATGGCACCTGTAGTGCTGCTGTCTGCCTGTTGAAGGACTCTGTGAACTGTTTTTAGACACTGCTGTTTAATAAATTGCATATTCCTGCAGTTTTAACAATCATCGTTCAAGTCTAATTAAAAATCCTGAAAATACAAACAGTTAATAAATCAAAACAGCAGTAACCTGTGTTGTGTTTCACTCACATGGAAAGCAAACTGCCCTGAGAAGTCGTACATGCCACAGGAGTGCATCAGACTCAGCGTGTTCCTCACCGCCTCTGGGCTCAGCACGCGCTCGCCCGTGATTGGGCAGATACCCCCGTTGGCCAGGGTGGCCGCCATGACACTGGCACTCTCACATGTCACCTCAATGGAGCAGAGCTGGAGAGGCAGAGACAATAACTCTGTTACTGCAGCTTGATTTACAAAGCGAGGTGACAGAAAAGTGAAAGTAAAGGGTGGAAATGATGGAAATAAATCCATCTGATTGGTTTGGGAGATACTGGAACAGCATATAGAGGTAAAACCATCTGTTCGTGGTCAGGAAGCTATGTATGTATCACACAGAAAGAAGCTGAAAGAAGCGGTGGAAACAACTGGTCAGAAAGCTTTACTCTTGAGGATAAAAATCAATAGCAGGAAACAGCTCAGCAATGAAGCAGGAAAACAACCTAATGATATCCTCTCATTAAAAATGTATAAATACTGGAAGAAGCTAAAGTTACACTCACTTGAAAGTACAAGTCCAGTACAGAGGTCATGTCTGTCCCCTCTGGGAAACACTGCAGAGAGGAGAAAAAAACATTTAATAACCACGCTCTCATGCTGAAGAGACTTGAAAGCATCAGGTACAAGAGCCAAAGGGCTGAAACCCTTTAAATATGTGTTTCACAGTCTCCACTTTCTCTAATATGCATCCATCATCTCTCCATTATCTTTGATCCAGTTCTTCTGGTTTATGTTTGTTGAGCTGAGCAGTCACAGCTTACGAGTGCCGTCAGCCCCATTAAAGACTCGTTTTACACCAGACCACCTGATCAAAGGTTTACTGTTTCAAAGAATAACTGTTGTTTTCTCCACAGGAAAAAAACCCCCAAAACTCTTTTCATCTTGTTCTTTCCTCAGAAACACATGGACTTGGACACACGGTGACTGACTGACGTCTTTCTTGCTGTCTTGCATCTGTAGATGAGTTTATTTCTGGGAAAGTCCAGCTGAACTTGCAGCACTCGCGCTAATCAAACGAGGAGCTCGGCCAGAACATGGCTCACCTTGTTTGATTGTATTTATGTGTTTATGTTACTGATCTGTGATCCCGGCAAAAACCAGGCTGCTGTGTCCTAGATAAGAACAACACTACCAGGTTTTTTCTGTTCTAAACTGACGCTGCAGTTTTTCATTCATAAGTTTAAAAAAAGTCTCAGGGGTCTTAGCTGACTCCTACCGAAAGGCAAATCAGGAGGGTTACAATCAGCTGAATCAAAAATATGCAGATTTTTCTCATTTATGCATGAACGTATTTAAGGGGCGAGAAGCATTACATGCTGAGCTGCTGGCTGTAAACTTTCAAGCTTCAGTGGCAAAATAAGCAGAAACGTGAGGCCCGATTCGTTTAAACTCTAAATTCTCTCCAGGTTTTCAGAGAGGAGAATCACAAAGACAAACCTTTTTTTCTTTCAGGTAGTAGCCGATGGCGAAGTTCCTGTCTCCTGACTCACGCTCAGACTGGAATCTGTCACACAAAGAAGAACACTCCCATTACAGATGAAGGTAGCGTGTGTGTGTTATTTCAGTGCTGTGCTGGTATTCACAGACCTCGGCCTTCATGTGTACAACATAACCACAGCTCACGCAATCATGTGATGACACTGCAACACGAGCCGTCATAAATCATGCAAACCTTTAAAACCTCATCAGCACCTGTGGAAGTCCTCAGCACACAACAGATGTGGGTCACTGAGGACCAAAATGATGTTTCTTTAAACAGTGTTCAGCCTTTTTGTATAAAGAAAAGGTTTTTTTTACATTATTAATTATTATTATTGTTGTTCTGAGCAGGTATTATAAGACAGTCCTGCTTATATCTGACTTCTCGTGAACATAAGCCATTTAAAACATGGCCTGTGTGCTTGTTAATTTGATCCCAGTTAATTAAGGTGTTTTTCACAGTTTACGCTTCCTGTAATGAGCCTGTGAAGGTTATTACGGTGGTGGTTAGGTCAGCTCGGTTCGGGGGTTTGCAGGGCAAGGCTAAGTAAACTTGGGTGATTTTAAAGAGGCGATGTGGAGGGAGGACTTACGTGGCGTTGCTGAAACCCACATACTCGTTTCCCGCCATCTTTTTCAGAAAGTTCATGACCTGGAAGGAAAGCAGGAGGTGAGTCGAGATGAAAAAATGATCCAGAGGTTCATGTATGGAGGTCAAACACTACAAATGATAAGAGCTGCCAGCTAAACAGCACATATAAAACATCAAGAGTCCCTCTAAACTTATTCAACACACACAGAGGTGCAGATAATTAAACCTCAAGAGAAAATTCAATGTTTGACACCTGTTTGATTTCACGAGTACTGACTCTTCCCTACACGAGAGCATCGACTGCACCAATAAAAACATTTACGAGGAGGAGGGGTGCTGAGGGTGCTCACCAGCCTCTCAAATAATGGCTACAAGAAAAACCAACACAGTGGCAGCGAATGCTCAGGTTGACTCTTCAAAATGAGGAGTCTGAAACAAATGAGCAATGTCACTTTTATATACATCCACTGGTCATTTTATTAGGTACACCTTCAGCTCTGCCATTATTTATCATGTCATAGATTCAACAAGAGATTTTTGTCCATGTTGACTTGATGGCATCACACAGTTACTGCAGATTTATCAGCTGTACATACATGATGTGAATCTCCCATTCTACCACATCCCACAGCTGACCCTACTGTCTGAATGCCACAGCAGAAATCGAGTCTTATCTCGTCAGACCTGGCAACATTTTTCCAATCTGGTATATCCAGTTTTGGTGAGTCTATGTGAACTGTACCCTCAGTTTCCTGTTCTTAGCTGACAGAAGTTATACCCGGTGTGGTCTTCCACTGCAGTAGCTGAGCTGGTTAAGCTGGTTCAAGGCTCGGAGATGCTCTTCTGCATACTTTGGTTGTAACTGTAAGTGTTATTTGAGCTACTGTTCTATATTGATGCATCAGCTCGAAGCAGACCGGCTGATTAGAGAGTTGTGCTATGAAAAGGTGTACCTAATAAAGTGTCCAAGAAGATTTATTTCACATTTTAACGTCAGGCTATGATGCTGTTAGATGAACGAATCACACCTTGACAAAGAAAATATAAATGAACTTTAAATACTTGTGGGTCAGAGCTCTGACCAATACTCACATAGTCAAATTTCTCTGCGTTGCTTACACTTTGCTGCGGAGAAAACAAAATAAAGAGTCGTTAGCACGGTTCATTTATAGAGAGAAATCTCAGAGGATAAAGTACGGCATCACAAAAGATTTTATAAAATGATAAATGATAATTCTGACCAACTAGATTTACATAATTAGCAGGCATGAACAGATCTGATTACAAATAAAGTGTAAAAATCACACGAGCTTTGCCAAGAGTTCAACAAACTATTAATGCGATCAGTTTGCGGATAGATTACAAAGAGGGAAGTTTGAAGGGAGACTTAGCAGACGTGTTCATGACATCTCACTGATTCCAATCCAAACAGTCAAACCTGTTTTTAATATGTATGACAGCCCTGACTGTGTGCATGTTTCTACAGTAAGTCTGCAAGATGTGGGTGCATGCAGGCAGGTGTGTATTATAAGTTAACACTGTGCAGGTGTGTGAGTGTGTGTGTGCATATTTGAGGTGAAGAGGGAGGGAGGGTTGGCCTTCGTCACAGCTTGTAGCTCGCTGATGTCCCGCAGAGAAAACACAGCAAAGGAAAAACAAAACAAAAAAAACATGGCCACACATGCACATTTAAAGTGCTGTAGCACCAGTTTTAACTTTACTTGTAGAGTTTTAAAACTGTGGCGCTGATGGAGATGTTAAAGAGTCACTACATGAAGTTTCTACAGAGCTGATTGGAGGAGAATAAAAAAAATAGAGAGAAGGGAGAGGAAGAGGATCAGGGGAAGTGGGAGAGAATGAGGAGATAGATATGGAAAAGGAAGAAAAAATTACCAACGTCATTTGACCTGCTGCTGCAGTCATTATTTCCCACAGTTCCTAAGTCTGCAAAATATGCAACATACAAAAACAGCAACAACATGTAGCCTTCAAGCAGCATGTAACAACAGTTTGGGGGCATACTGCCACGGCAAGCTCCTCACGGCGGGTTTCCCCACCGAAGGTTAAAGGCTAACTGTGCAACCTCACCAACGGCTTTACAGTTAAAATAAAAATAAAAAGCAACACATTTAAAAAAAAAGAGACACTGATGAGCCGATGTGGACACAGACACATGTTCTGAGTTTGAGTTTAAGGCCTGAGGACTTCAAACTGCAACATTAATTAGTAAGAAAGCTGTGAGTGAACTGATGGCTGTGAGCATCTAAGGAAGTCCTCTTTGTATCACATGGTGGTTCAAAAATACAGAACCTGATCAGCTCAGACCTTAGTGAGGTTAATGTTAACTCGAGCGTGCCTGCAGAGCCAGAGTCCAGACATGTTCAGTAAAAGTTTTATGATTCAAGAAGCAGCGAGTTCAACCAAGCCGGTGTTGAAGCGTTAAAATCTGCAGTTCCACTAACGTCCACTTGAGGCCGACTCAAGCAGCGAGCCAGTCCCTGCAGCGTTAAATCAACTTTACAGCAGAAATAATGTTCGGAGCCTGATATAAGCAAGTCGTCTCCCAGGCTTCACCTCAGCCTGTGTTTGTGCTCTTGGAGTCTCTTTAATTCAAATAAAAATGGCGGCTGAGCAGTTAATTGTACTAACAGACCATCCAGGAAGGATGGTGCAGTTTAGATGAGTGAAATTAGAGGATTTTATTTGAATGTTATTCAGCAGTTAGCAGCTATCTGTGCACTGCACCCATACAGTTTATGCTCCTGTTCAAGTCTGGTAACTTCTGACTCCAAATGTTTAAGTTCATCTTTTTTTAAAACAGTTTTTATGCATAATATTCAGCACTTTACTTTTTTTTTTTTTTTTTAATTTGTGGCTTAAACCCAATGTAAGCTGGAACCCACAGCTGCCCTTAATTAACAGTATTATAATTATCTAAATGATTCTTTATGTTTCTGTAATTGTTAATCCACCTGTATGTGAAAGCTCTTTAATCTAAACTGTATTTTAGTGATAAAATATAATTACTATCGTTATCCATAAATTTTTGAACTTATTCTTTTAAAATAAAGAAGAAGAAAAAAAGAGAAAATAGTAAAGAAGATTTTTTTTTATTAAGATGCCAAATTATTGTTATTTACTTGTGTTCCTGATTACTTTCTGACTTCTCAAAGAAATCCCGTGTGAGAGCTTTGCATGACTGGGTTGATGGTGTTAGTAAAGCTGTAATGTCACATGACAGTAAGGATAAACTGTAGTGAGAATTAAATTTTTAGTCCTGATTTTGGTGCAAATTCAAACTTTTGAAGCAGTTTAATGGGTCTGATGGGTGTCTCTGTCCGTGCTTTACAGTTTAAACATAACAGAGGTGTCAAAATACAATGTGTGGAGGCTTTTATTGCTAAACTTTAATTGAGAATCAGTGCAGCCTATTTTTCCCTGGTTTAAGAGTGTTTTGGCTAACCTAAACATGTCCAGACTCCAGCTCAGTAGGAAGCATTTAGTGACTCTGACACATGAATGATAAACTGCCTGCAAAACAAACAGTTTGTTTTGGTCCTGAGAAAAACGATCCAGCTCTTAATGCTAAAAGCTGCGGGTTGCTTTTATCACAGGGTTTCCTGCTCTACCTCCTCCTGCAGCTAAAAACAAAGCTGATAAGAGCAGAGAGTGAAACACAACAATAACACCAGGGTCATTGAACTGAAACACAGAGCAGTCGATTCTCTGCAGATTTATTTTATATCATTCAAACATTTAAAATGACATGCAGGCGTTCGTCCATCTGATGACTGATTTTTGTGACTGTTACTCTCGCATCTGCTCTCTCGAATGTTTCAGTTTTCATTTTAGCTTCTTTTCGTTCATTTTTACTGCGATGCTCTTATTTTGTTATAAACCAAGCTCTTCCCTTTTTCTACTTTTTCTTTAAAAGCACAAAGTCATGCAATTAAATTTAAATAAAGCCGAGTTGGAACAAATGTTTGGTCATCCATCTACAGAAAGTAAAGGTCAGATTATTAATGGTTTAGAGGGATTAACATTTCCTGCAGTTGCCTTTGCCTCTGGGTTGCAGTGCAATTAATCAAAATCTAATTAAAAATCACGATTTTACAATACAGTGCAAAGTTTATTGTTTCAAAAGTTCAAAAAGTCTGTGGTTTTTCCATCGGTTCTTCTTTGCTTTCTGCTCGTCTACCATGCAGGTCTCCCAAACACTCACCTAAACTCCCTAATGTGATGACCGTGTGTCACTTCACCTTCTCCGCCTCTTTTGTCTCTGCGTTTATTTGTTTTCATTTGACTTAAATTTAAAATTCATACCCCTGTAAAAAGACATTTTTTAAATTTCAGTAAATAAACGTGATTACTATTTTTGTCGTAAACGTGGAGTCCTGCCTTATTTCAGTTCGGGACCAAAGGACCGGAGAGAAGACAGCGTTTAGTCTAAAAGCATTTTTGTAAATGAGCCTGCTGCTGTCTCTGTTTAAACTAATTTTGTCCTCTGCTTTGATTTAAATTAGGAGTGTTAAGAGTCTGCACTCCCCTTTGCTCAGCTGCTGTTTTTCAATCGCGACGCAAAAGCTGCGTGATAAACGTCCCTCTAATGTGAAGCTAACAGATCACGAGGCAAAGTGTAGTCACTTTAAAAACGGTTCATCTGCAGGGTGAAAATGAACAAGAAGCACAAATAGAAAAAAAAGATCGAATGAACAATGTTACAATAACATGTGGTCACTGAAAACACACAGACCTGAGCTACCTTTAAGTACAAAAAGATCCAAATCACTCTGAAGAGCTTCCTTCTCTGGACTGCTTCCACTCAAGTCCAACAAAAACTAAAAGTAACACCTTGAAGCTTTGGCAATATATCAATGCAGCTGGGATGAATCACTTCATTAGTCATACAGGATAAAGTCTAAGTGCTGGGGACAGAAAAAAATAGGTCACCTCCAGAAAAAGCTGCAGCAATCGATCGTTAAAGTGAGTCATGACACAATAAAGGGGGGTCAAACATCTACTTGAAAGGCTTTTAAGTGTTTTTAAATGTAACTCTGCCAGAGGAAAAGCCTATGACAAAGCTGGCATTTAAGCCAGGTTTAATATCTCCTTTGTTTGGGGGGTCAGACTGTGAGCTGCAGCTGGTTTGATCTCTCACCAGAAAACTTACTGAATCTACGTTAAGGCTGAGATAAAATCTGAAGGTGTGCATTTTAACCTGTGCTTGCTCTCCGTGCAGGTTATTTTTAGTCTGTGTGGTTGAAGCGTGTGAGCTGGAGCAGCTAAGTGTCCTTCAGGAGGGATTAACGAGACTTTTAATCACCACAACAGGACACACGCCTAAGGGCAGTAACTTACAAATACCTCGAACTGAGTCAGTCGTAAACACGAGAACACAGTGGAAAGAAAATCATGAGTTTCACAAGAATCAGTTAAATAAGTCAGGAAATGGCAGGTAAATCATTAAAAGCAGGTTAATTAACCCCCAGGCCCACAGCCTTGCATTACCCCTCATTTTACGTCACTGATAAAGCAGCTCAGTGACGCCCACATTACAAGGAACTTTCTGAGGTTTGAGAGGAAGTGACACACAGACTGGACGTAAACGAACACAAACACACAGAGGAGGAGGACGAAGTGTGACTGCTTTTACCTTTATGAGTGAAGTACAAACAATAGCGCCAGCATTCACCATCGGGTTGTGCGGCTTATCTGCAAAACAACGAGAGCTCCGTTAGCGTGCTACGAAGGATCAAAGTGCAAACATTCGGCCTGAGAGCTGTGCATATACACAGATCAGAACACGAGGGTCAAGTGCATACACAGTAAACACTGACTCAAGATAATACAGAGAAACACAGCGGAGGCTGTAGCAGCTGAAACAGTCACAATATCTGATTTGAAGTATAAAACCGAACAAGTCTCTATGTAGCTTGCAAAAAAACAGATGTATGTAGTCTAAGGAGCTGAGAAAGAAATGAACTATACTTCTGTAGGTTTTGTGTATATATGTATATATATATGTAATGCTACTGTTAAGTGTTTATAAGCAAGTTTTTGTTGTTCATACAGTGGACTAACAAAGATTAAGAAAAAAACACTCCAGGCCTGCTAAAAACCACCCACAGGGCAGATTTTTGCTGTAATGTGTAAAGAAAAGTGCGGCCTACTGTATCTAAAGTGTAACTTTCAACCTGACTGTTTGATGGCAACTGGCCGCTTGTTGATGTTTGTGTAGCTGTAAATGCAGGAATGTGCTGGCGGGCTGACAAAGTGTGTTGCAACTTGCTGCTGTATCTGTGGCATGCTGCTGATGATCTAACTCTAACCGTCAGGACTCTGTGTACATCACACAGCCCAGTGAGAACCATCTGTATGTATGGACAAGTTTAAAACTTATTGTTGTTACTACTGTACAGGAGTGCAGTGTTTACAGTGTTGTGTGAGTGTGTGGAGGCGTGGGCGTGGACAGGGACATAGTGAAAAATAAATCCAGCACTTTCCTCCCTCAGATCTCTGAAAGAGCTTGAACGCTTACATCACCTGAATTTCCTTGTGGTCATGTGATCTGCTTACACAACATTATCCCCTTGCAGGGCTGCCCTGGCAGAAGGCGGGAGAACACAGGAAGTGACCATGACATGTCTGCAGTGTGAGCCTCAGCCTGGGGATTCTGGCATTTCCTCTCAAAATGCCCATTTTTGAACAACCCAACCACGTGTTCTCCCACAATGCATCTGACTACTCACAGCTCTCACACTCGTTCTAACCAATGCTACAGCTAGCTGAGCAGCGATGGCAGGCCGTGATAGCCTCCCCCATCAAGCATCGCAGTGAGATGCAAGCGCACGTCCTATGTTGACCCCCTGTGCATGTTTTTAACCCTACAAAAAGGTAGAGTGCCAAGACATGTGGCCAGGCAAGGGGGCTGCTTCGCTGGATTTCTGACTCATTGTGATTTAAGAACATCTGACCCTCGCATCATATCTACCACTTAAGTCTTCCACCAACTTCCTGTACCCTGCACTAGCTCTTCATCGCTTTACTTGGAGGACAAGGTTTAATAAAAAGTCCAAGACGACTCACCATCTTCATTCAGGAAGAGCTTGTTGAAGCGGAGGCCGCTGGGCTCCTTCCCGATGAAACTGTGCACGTACTCCGTGCTGTGGTCGTGCACGGCGACGGCATACTTCAGAGGCTTCACACAAGACTGCATGCAGAAGGGGACCTTAGTGTCTCCCACCGTATGTCTGCAACAAAAACATAAAGATAGGACGTTATCAGAGCAGGCCGCAGGTTCAGTGATTAGAGACAAGAAGAAGCCAGAACAGACACATGAAAACAGTGAGTGTTTCACAATTTGTAGGAAAGGCACGATAAACTAAAGTAACACTGTGTAAAAACAAAACCGTTATCTTTACAACTGTCAAGGTTTGTTAAACAAACTTTTACGAAAGTTTACAACCACTAATCAGAGAACAGGGTGATCAGAACGCCTCCTGACATAGTTACTGAGAAATGGTTATTTCTTTACACGTGTTTTGTCTTTTCTGGGAAATACAAGTGGGATCAAATCAACAGTTTTAACCAGCTTGAACCAGGACCGCCATACAATAATTAAAAAACAAACAAACTGGTTAATCTAATGTTTCTCTGAAATATAAACACTGACCTTCACAAAGATTACTGCACTAAAACAGGTACTATAACGTATAATGTAATATAACACCTTAATTTTTTTTCTGCGGTTGCCTGGTGACTGTAATG